TTATAGCCTTTTTTGATTGTTTTCTTTGGTTTTTGCGTTTTTGCCTTTTGGGTCATTTTACAATGTAGTGTAGTTTATTTGCTCCCTTTGTCCGGAATTAATAGTCGTAACAGCGTTATTAGTTGTAATTTATAAGCGGCATATCTTGAACTAGTTACGTGATTACGTGACAATTAAATTTGAAAGGGTGAATATTAATTTGTGTTTGGTAACTATGATGAGAGAATTTGGATTTCTTTGTTGTTGGATCAATTGTAAATGGGTATTTAATCATATGAAGTTTTTATATAGGTATATAAATTTTTCCAAATTAAGTTAATTTCTGTTTTAAGTACGTGGGTATAATGTGAAATTTTGGATTCATGGTTAGGGAATGAACTAAAATGCTACTGTTCATACAGTGGAATAAATTATAGAAAATGTTTTGTTTTTGGTCAAAATATGGTGAAAATTAAGAATTTTAATGTAGTTTGAGACTCGCAAATTAGATTATGGACACATGTACACGATGATTGTACCAACTTTTCCATGCTAGAAAATGATTTATTTCATAATGATTTTTTTTTTATTTATTTTTTTATTAAAGTTGGAAAGAACATATGAATGGGTCCAATTCTCTGTATGCACAAAATGCTGATGGTGGCATTGTTATTTCTTAATACTCTGTAGAACTTGTTGATGAAATGGTAATGATGTGAAAAATTAGCAATTTTATTGTTTGGTGTTGTTAATTGAATTGTTAGTGTCATACTTCGTATTTCATCGTATACTTTCATTGGATTTCTTTGTATTATGGCACTAAATTAGCATGATTGTTGCCTTAACTTTCCTGATGGTGTTTTGATTCAGAACTTAAAGCGTGCTTCGTGTTCAGCTGTGCTTACTTTGGCATATCAGAGTCTTGGAGTAGTTTATGGTGATCTTAGTACCTCACCTTTGTATGTTTACAAAACCACATTCTCCGAGAAATTAAGCCTTCGTGAAGATGATGAAGACATTTATGGGGTGCTTTCCTTCATATTTTGGACATTTACGCTGGTTGCCCTTTTCAAATATATTTTTGTGGTTATGTCAGCAAATGATAATGGCGAAGGTGAGCATTCATCAGATCACCATTGCCAATGGTCATTGTCTTCAGATATCATTTATGATCCTATATCTCTTTTTTCATATATTTCGTGTAATTTTTTACTTGTACCCAGGCGGCACTTTCGCATTGTACTCATTGCTATGTCGGCATGCAAACCTTGGTATTCAACCAAACGATGAGAAGTTATCTGCATATGCCATTGAGGGTTCAGTGCACACAGCTAGGAGTTTCAAGCTACCAATTGAAAAGCATGAACGATTTCATAAAGCTTTGCTGATCTTTGTTCTTCTGGGAACATGTATGGCTATCGGGGATGGTGTACTCACACCTGCAATCTCAGGTAACAGTCACTTTATTTTTGCTGAAACCTGTGTTACTGTGTAGCCTAACCTGGTATTGGCATCTTATCATGCTCTTTGGTTAAGTTTCTTATGTTATATTCTTGCAAAATTTCACTAAAAAAATTGCCGAGTGATTATGTATGCGAAACAAAAAACTTTTCTCATTTTTGTTGGACAACCATATTCATTAGAGGCAACCACTAATCTTCTAATCTGACATTTCTTTTGAACCCTATGCATAGCCCTTACAATAGTATGCCCTGTTTTTCCTTTCTGTAATAATTTTACTTTATGTAATCTCGTTTACTAGTCAATTAGTCATCTAAGAATATCATATATTCTTTCAGTTCTTTCGGCAGTGTCAGGAGTTCATCTGAAATTCACGGGACTTCATGAAAGTAAGTTCAACTTCATCCAAAAATAGGGGGGGGGGGGGGGGGAAGAAGCACTACTAAAATGTGTTTTAGAAAGAATTCAACACCATTGTGATTTAACAATGGTTTCATTCTAACAAAATTCTTGTTTTTTGCAGATTATGTTGTTATGATTTCATGCATCATTTTGATAGTCCTGTTTTCTCTCCAACACCATGGAACACACAGAGTTTCTTTCATGTTTGCACCCATTGTCACAGCATGGCTTCTTTGTATCAGCAGCATCGGGGTTTATAATATAGTAAGGTGGAATCCAAGTGTTGTTAATGCGCTATCTCCAGTTTATATGTTTAAGCTACTTAGAAACACAGGCATGGCAGGATGGATGTCCCTAGGCGGAGTTGTTCTCTCTATTACAGGTATTTTCACTCATGGTTTTGTTTCTGCTTATATAAGAACTACTGAAAACATGATATTCTGGTAGTTTTATCACAGGTGTGGAGACTATGTTTGCTGATTTGGGTCACTTTTCAGCTTGTTCAATTAAGGTATCTCTTGCATTCTCCACTTCTTTTCCTCCATATCTTGGGCATGCTTATTAATACCTTGGTAATTCACTTTTTCTAGATAGCTTTTACTTTTTTGGTGTACCCTTGTTTGGTTTTGGCTTATATGGGTGAGGCTGCCTTCCTCTCTCGTCATCATGAAGATATCCAGAGGAGCTTCTACAAAGCCATTCCAGGTAAATATAAAAATGCTTCTCTTTATACCTCACATTATTGAATTTTGTTATCTAATCTTTGCCATTTCTTTCCTCCTTGTTTTGCCAAGAACCCGTTTTCTGGCCGGTTTTCATAGTGGCCACATTTGCGGCAGTAGTAGGAAGCCAGGCTGTAATTACAGCAACGTTCTCTATCATAAGCCAGTGTTGTGCTTTAAACTGTTTTCCTCGAGTCAAAATCGTTCATACTTCAAGTGAAATTTATGGGCAGATCTACATTCCAGAAGTGAATTGGATGCTAATGTGCCTATGTCTGGCTGTAACAATTGGGTTGAGAGATACAAATATGATAGGTCATGCTTATGGTATGAGTCGGATTCTTCCTAAACTATGATAGAGCTTCTATGAAAATTGGCATTTGCTTGATTATGACTGAATACTAGTGTCTGATGTGCTGAAATACAGGTCTAGCAGTCACCACAGTGATGTTCGTGACTACATGCTTGATGGCATTGGTTATAGTTGTAGTGTGGAGAAAGAGGATAGTGATTGCAGTATCATTTTTACTGTGTTTTGGATCCATAGAACTCCTTTATTTCTCAGCTTGTCTTTTCAAGGTTCCCGAGAGTGGTTGGATTCCTCTAGCTTTATCTTCAATCCTGATGGTGGTAATGTATGTTTGGAACTATGGTACGTCAAAGAAACACCAATTCGACATGGAGAACAAGGTTTCTGTAGACCGGATAGTTGCTTTAGGCCCTAGTTTGGGCATGGTACGGGTACCAGGAATTGGTTTTCTGTACACTAACCTTGGCACGGGAGTACCAGCTGTCTTTGGACATTTTGTGACAAATCTACCAGCGTTTCACCAAATCCTGGTTATCGTGTGTGTAAAGTCCGTGCATGCACCCTATGTTACGGAAGATGAGAGATTTATTGTTGGAAGAATTGGCCCAAAAGAATATGGCATGTTCCGTTGTGTTGTTCAGTATGGTTACAAGGATTTACTGCAGGAGAACTATGATTTTGAAAATAGAGTGGTTTCCGAGCTCATTAGGTTCGTAGAAACAGAAGAACATGACCCTGGAAAAGGTATTATGCAAGAAGCTGATACATCTACACTTTTGATAGAATACCAAAATCATGAAGCTGGTGCACTGGATTCGAAGTTAATGGATCTCAATCTTGGTAACTTGGACAATTTTATCCATAGAGATGAGTCGATCAAAATCTTGAGAGCAAGGGAATCAGGTGTTGCGTACATTTTCAGTCATTCTTATGCAAAAGCAAAGAAATCATCTTCGATCTTCAAGAAATTTGCTATCAATATCTTGTATGCTTTTCTAAGCAAGAACTGCAGGGGACCAGATGTTGCTCTAAACGTTCCTCATACTTCTCTGCTTGAAGTTGGCATGGTATACTATGTGTAGAGCAGTATAAATGACAGGTTGACAAGTAAACTGTAAATATATGATAGCTGCTTGAAGGACTACCCTATCAAAATTACCATATACTACTACCTCTTTGGCATGCTATTCGAGACAATGATTAGAAAAAATAAACGGGAAAATTAAGTTTTATCAACAATAAGAGGAAAGATTTCAATTACTTTGGTTTAAACTATTATTAGATTAATTTGTCCGTTAATCTTCTCTAATAAGTCCATGAGATAGCATGACAAAGAGGTTGCAAGTATTTACAAAGTAAATATTTTTTCTCTATTTATCTATACATGTATAAATTGTTTAGAAATGGGTACAAGATGAGCATGGACATTGGACGATACAATAGCATTTAAATCCTCCCCTTCTTTGTGAGTTGGAGTTGGACATTTTTCCTCTAAGGGATTGAAGGGGTAAGATGATAAAGGTATGCTAAAAATAATATATAAAACAAAGTGAGTAGAACAAAAAAGAACGGCCTAAAATAAAAAATGAATAAAACAAAAAAAATAGAGGAACTAAAAGGTGGTAAATAACAAAACTTTAAAAAATTTATAAGGTAGTGAATACCCAACTTCCAACTAAGTCAAGCTAACAAAAGGTGGTAAATATTAAATATAACAAACCAGTAATATACTAATATAGTCATCATCTCTTATCTCACTTCATCTATTGTAGATATTATATTCGTATAAGCTATTTTTTTTTCATTCCTTAATCTAAAAGGTTTTTATGTTTCAAATATCATGATGTCAAGTTTTCTTAACTAGACAAAATAAATACTCCCTTCAGTTCCCTTTTATTTTTGACGTTTGGAATTATGCGTGGTTATTAAGAAATTATATAAAGTTGAGGTATATTAGCATAAAATCAATGATAATTTTAGTTTAAAAACAAAAGAATATTGTACATGTAGGGTAAAAAAAGTAGGAAGAAAGTAGAAGAGAGAGGAAAGACGAAGTATTAATGAGTATCGGAAAACCATTAAAATAAGACAAAAAGTACAATTGCACATGAAAAAGTAGGGACATTTGACCATTTATATTGTGAAACAATGGCAAATTTGTTCAAAACTTATAACTAAAATAGGAAAGAAACTAAATGTAAAGAATAAAAAGGAACATCCTAAATGAAAACGTCAAAAACAAATGGAAGCGAAGGGTGTATAAAAATATAACAATATAAGCACATGTATATTAGTAATATATACAAGTCCAAAACTATCAACATCTTTTATCCAAAAATAAACCGACCCAAATTCCAACTTGTATAAAGACAATAATTTAATCGACTCAAAATTGAAATAAATCCAACTTAATCTAAATCAATGATAATAACCCGTTGTCTCAAAAAAAAAAAAAAATTGATAGTAACCCGAATTGACACCTCGTGTCCAAAATTTTCAACTACGACCAGCCCCAGTGCCCCACCCGTTAGAGGTTTGATTAGAAAAACAAGAAGAGAAGGCGTTTTGTTCAAATTTCAAAATCCCCCAAAAAAGCAAAGAAACCCGACGTCATTTTGCACTACTATACATACTACTGCATCTTCTCACACTCCATCCACTGTTTAGAGAGAGAAACAGAAAACACAAACATGGAAAACTCAGCAAAAGGGAAGGAAGTTCGAGGAATTCCTACTTATGGCGGAACTTACATTTTGTACAATATCTTCGGTAGCCTTTTCGAGGTCGCTTCTAAGTATGCTCCTCCTATTCAACCCGTCGGTCGCGGTGCTTATGGCATTGTTTGGTACTTTCTCTCTCCTCTTTCATTTTCATTTTTGGTGTTTATTTCAGGAATTTGATTTGTTTTTCTGGGATTTGTGTTTTTTATGAGGGTTTGATTGTTAGAATTTGATTGCAAATTTGAAATGATTTGAGTTTCTTGTTGTTTCTTATGATGCTGGATTAATTTGAGTAATTAGGGTTTTATGTTATTGTTGTTTGTTTTGTTTTCGTGTTTTTGATGAGGTTTTGCTAGCTGATTGTATCGATTTGTTGTTGTACTTGCACCCACCAAAAAGTTTTGTTAGGTTGGTAAAGGTCTAATGATTGATGCATTTTGTTTTGCGTGATTATATTGAATAGAAAGTTCTGGGATTTTATTTTCTCGTACGATAATAGAATAATCCGAGTTCATCGATTTTACTGATGATGAATTGATTTGATTCGGTGTTTTCGAAATTTTAAGAGCTGCAGAATTTGATTTTCTGAGATACTGTCCTTTTCTGTGATATGAGTGCTACACTATTCTGCATGATTAGTAATACTAAACAATGATGACGGCAAGAATTGTTACATACGTCGTAGTATTGTTTTTGGGTAGGTTTAAATGTGTTCGGCCTTATCCTATTTAATGAGGTTAGAAGAGAGGTTCATGTATTTTTCTGAGAAGAACCTTTTTTATTGTTATTGATTTAATTTTGTAATGTATAATAGATGATCCTTATATTCGCTGTTAATTTTTGTGAGCAGATCCATTTCAGGAAAATGTTTTACTAAGAATGAATTTCTAAGAGGATTCATATGAAACCATCTTTTGTTTCTCAGACATAGAAATAAGGGTACATTTAGATTTGGCATTAAGTTTAATCTTTAAGAATTCTTGGGAATAATTTGGTGTTTGTAAAGTCACGTGAAGGGATGAATAGACAGGATGTGATCATGAGTTTTTTTATTCACTAACGGTAGAGTTAGATTAATAAATAAAACTTTGAATCCTACACCACCGGCTGGACATGTGCACACATATCTGTTTTATTTGTTTAAGGTATAAATTGATCTATATACAGTTAGCTGGTGTCCACCTGAAGGTTCTGTATTTTGTGGCTTTGGAAAGACAGGTGACTGACAGGGAAATCAAGAACAAGAATATGACATTATAATAGCAGGCTTAGTAGCTTCCTTCTCTATATAGTTTAGTCAAGAGAATATTCTTATGTAATTGGAAGGGGGAAAAATATTATATTTGAAGCAAGTCTTGTTGTTTATGTGACTGGTTTCGAATACCGTTCGCTTTGAAGTTCTTTGAGGCTTGAGCTGTTGAGCATGCGTAGAAGTATAGGAATGGTTTACTGATTGTGGTGCTAAATTAGAAGTACTCTGTCATCAACTGATGATATGGTTTCTCTTCTCATATTTCATAAAGAAGCTTATTTTCTGATCTCCTTGCTGTCAATTGGTTGCTAAGTTTTGAGAGATTTAGAAGTAAAAACTGATATAAAAAACCATGTACCTTTCAGAAAATTATCACATATATCTCTACTCCTTAGGTCAATTCTCAAAAGCATCCACAGATTCTTCCCAAGGAAGACCTTGTTAAATTGGACAAAAATATCAAATGACGTTAATGACAATAACTATTATGATATTCCACCTTCCTTTCTGTATGCTATTTTTATCAATTTCTATTCATCTATTACCACCTAATCCTAACATTACTAACTTCATTCTATCCTGTCACCGCCACCTCCACCTCCACAACCATCTTGCTGCCTCTTAACCGTTCTTGTCACCGCCACCTCCACAACCATCTTGCTGCTTCTTAACCGTTTTAATCACCTTCAAATCACCTATCAACACCATCACTATCTGATCACTTCATTAATAAGATGACCCTAGTGTTCTATTTATTTATATACCATCTCCCTTTTCTAGCTGCCACCCTTGACCTTTCCTCCCTCACTGTCCAAACCCAATTTTTATTTTCTCTTTCTTTTCCTCCCTTGTCCATACCAATGAAAGAGATCTCCAACCCAACTCTTCTCTCCCTTGCACCCGTCTCTATCCCATGTCTTTTTGGCTCATCTACACCCTAAACACCATTGCCCCCTCTCTAAAACCCACTAGTTTTAGACCTTTGCCTCCCTTGTTCGTTCCACATTTTCCTCTAAGTTAGCCACAACACCTATCTGTTCTCATCCTAAGTTTCCCCTGTTCTTTTTACCCAAATTCCTTACCCCTATGCCCATCATTAGTAGTTCATTATGTTGTCGTAGGGTTGTTTTTTTTTTTTTTTTTTTTTTTGGGGGGGGGGTGTGGGGGGATCATAGAATTAAGTCTGTATATTTTGGTTGAGAAATTGAATTTGGTCAAATTGTAGGGTTGTGGGTGGTGGACCTGGTGGGCATTATACCATAAAGGTGCCAAAGAGAGAGGGGGTTCATTGTGCCGGTAAGTTTGGTGATGGTGAAGGTGTTGAGGGCGGGGGGTGGGTGGGTGGGGAGGATAGGGATTGAGTGAAGAGGATTATGGTGGTAATAGTGATGAAGAGAAGAAAGAGATGCAAAATGATGTTTTTTGAAATCGAAGATATGGATTTTATGCAATTTTGTTTTTATAGGGGATTTGGTTAGGTAATGGAGATGAAGTTGTTATGTCTTAATATTCATGAAAATGTGGTGTGTAGTTGGGAAAAAACTCCCCCCGATCTTTTCATGAGTTTCTTTGTCTTCTAGTTTGTAGTGATACCTGATACAAGGTTACTTATACAGCATTGTTATGGGCCAATGTGGCTAGAACATTTAAGAATTACTCAGTTGGGGAGATTTAAATAAAATTGGGTTAATCTGTAATTCTTTTTTATTTTTTTATTTTCTATTAATCAGTTTAGAGGACCCCTTGTCTTTGTTAATTGTACTCCTCTTTTCAGCTGCAAATATAATTCTTATTTTTTTTATATGTAAAAAGGTTTAACTCCCTTAATTACGGGGTAAACGTCAAAGTTTTTTTCTATACCTGATCAGAAGAAAGCTAGGAGGGAATAGACAAACTGTAGGGATGTCTCCTTTTAATGGAATTGATCAAATGGCAAATTACCTGGGTACCCCTTTGTGTATTACAGTCTTTTCATAATAAATAGAGTTGACACTTTCTTGTATAATTTTATTGGTATGTGCCTCATGGTTTCTTTCTTTTCCTTGTATTTTGTAGTTGATTTTTCGTACTTTGTTTCATTTGAGGATTAGTGTTAATGATGATATTCTATTTCCTTGTCCTAGTATGAAAAATTTGGAAAAAGTAAGCATTTATTGTATGTTGTGGTTCTGCATGATGCTTGTAGATTTCTTTGGCAACAATATTTACTGTTTGGCTTCATTTCCTTTCTTGATGGCAGCTGTGCACGAAATTCAGAGACAAATGAAGATGTCGCTATTAAGAAAATTGCAGATGCATTTAACAATAGAATAGACGCTAAAAGGACTCTGCGGGAAATCAAACTGCTATGTCACATGGACCATGATAATGTAATTCCAGTAATTGCTTATAAGTTTTTGGGGTAGCATGTTTTACCTTTCTTTTGCTATTTCAGATTGATTCTTTTTCAGCAAACTGTCTCGTTTTGTAGTCCCTTTCCCTTCTTTTCCAGTCTTGTAGTTATGGTCAATATGGTGTCCATATTATGAACTCCTCAATGTTCTTTGAGAAAGTTTTATTACTAAATCTATACTGTCTGAACGTATATTGATATGCTTATATGCTGCTAATGCAGGTTATCAAGATAAAGGATATTATACGACCACCTGTAAGAGAAAAGTTTGATGATGTCTATATTGTTTATGAATTACTGGATACTGATCTTCATCAAATTATCCGCTCCAACCAGGAACTCACAGAAGATCATTGCCAGGTGATCCTTGACTCATAAAATGTATTAATAATTCATTGCTATTTGCAGCAAAGCTGGCCTGGAGAAACTCACAATTGTGTTTCAGATATTATTCATTTTGAAATGGATGATGAGTTAATTCACTCCCTGTATGATCTTTATGGTTCAAGAGGGAGATAAATGAAGTTCTCAGTTGATATTCTTGACCATATTTGGTTATGCCTATGTTTATGAGTTAGATGAAAAACATGGTACCTGCCTACCCGGTATTGGCTGCATGACTTAGAAGATGGTGCTGCATATTGTTTTCATCTGATGCAATTACATGTATTCAATTCTAACAGTTATGTAGCTTAGTCCAATTTCTATTTATTGGATTTGGTAAGTTTGCAGAAATTACACATTTTATATTCATGTTAGTTTTGTTGAAATTACACATTTTTTAAACTTCTAAGAGCCCAACCCAAATGGCCCAAGGGGTTGATATCTCCCCTATGTCCGGTTGTTGATATTATACAAACTATCTAACTTAATTCCTACTGCTTTTGCACACATTGGAGATACTTTTGCTAGAATGCCAAAGACAAATATATGGTGTTAACTTTAATGAAAATTAGGTCGAAGCTACTGTGGAAAGAATCCCATTGTTGTGAGTTTTAGGAATCGGTGATGTTCTTCAGAGATTTTGTTGGGATTTATGAGAGGGAGAAAAAAGTTCTTGATTTGTGTGTCTGTGGGCGCAGTTCTGGTGATAAAGGGGACTAGTGTTTTTATGTTAAAAGCTCAAAGTGGATAATCTTGGGGCTATATGGATTGTTGAGAAGATGGTTAAGTCCATTAGTGAATACAGTAATTATAACCAGGAGTTTGTAACAGCCCATTTGTTGGCAAAGCGAGTCTTTGATAAGGGGTTACATTGCTCTTAAATTGTCAGATCATATGCAGTTTATGAGAAATGGTAGTTTAGGTGCCATGTGATAATGCGATTAGTGAGTTGTGGAAATTTATAAGGGGCCTTTGTAAGGGATTCTTATTGGTGGATGGACATTTTGTTATATTTTAAGATAAACCTTGTCTTCCAAATAAATGATAATAGTAAGAGAAAGAAAGAGATTATATTTTTTGTTTGTTAGATAGAGGCTGCAAATCTAATTACTTGAAACAATAATAGTCAAATAGTATTAGGAGGCATAAAAATGTGGACATGTGTTGATAATTTGCTCATTCTATTTCAATATAACATTGGTTGGGATATTCTAAGTGTAATGTGAAATTCTGTGAACTTAACTTCTTCATATTAAGTCCATGTACTTGAGTAAAGTGAAAATATTCTCCCTCTATTCTTTAACTTTTTGGACATTGATTTTGGTGGTCAATCTTCACTAGCTTTGACCTTATTTTTTTGCTAATTTGTAATAAAATATATCATCATAGGTGATCTTTGATATGTTTCATTGTGTTTTCTTTATTTTTTTTAATTAGTACATGATTAAAGATAGTGCTGGTAAAAGGTGTACACATTGGTGACCATAAAAAAGCTCATGTTGCAATAAATACAAAAATTAAGAAAACAGCCTTTTATGGTACAATCAAAATTTAATGATACATGATTAAAGATATTGGTGATCGTAGTAATATTTATGTTACAATCGAAATTTATATTTCTGACTTGAGAAACGACCACATTTTGGGCTTAGTTATCTGTTTCTAACCATTCTCTCTGACGGATACTTGTATACTTGCCACCTTTTGTTTTTCTTTCACAAATTTGCTGCCAGTATTTGATCAGGTGTAATGTTTGTTACACTCTCATGTCAGGTAGTTAAAGTATTGATGTATCAGATGTTCCAATGTGTCTAAAAATATTAGTATGTTTGCCTTGGCAGTACTTCTTATATCAAATATTACGTGGGCTAAAATATATACACTCAGCAAATGTTCTGCACCGTGATCTGAAACCAAGCAATTTGCTTCTAAATGCTAATTGTGATCTCAAAATATGTGACTTTGGGCTCGCAAGAACTACTGCAGAGACAGATTTTATGACAGAATATGTTGTGACTAGATGGTATCGAGCTCCCGAGTTGTTGCTTAATTGTTCAGAGTATACTGCAGCGATTGATATGTGGTCAGTTGGTTGCATCATGATGGAGATCATTAAGAAGGAACCTCTTTTTCCTGGAAAAGACTACTTGCAGCAGTTACAGCTCATAAATGAGGTTATTCTTTCTAGTCCCTGTTTGTTATGTTTAAATGTGGCATATTTTAAATAAAGGAAGCATGTTCGTAGAAATACTCAAGGTTGGTGTATGCCTTTAGTTTAAGTAGAAGACGTGTTAAAGGCATGAAGCGTAATAGTATCAATTTTATGGGGTGTGTGTGTAGTCATTGTTGGTTAGTATGCTTTCTCAGAAATAGTTGTGGGAGGATAAACTTATTTCTGGAATGAACATCAACTGCTTATGTATGGAAATTTGGAGAAGTTTTGAAGACTAATGTCTCATTGAGTGTATTAATATTTCAGTTTGATTTCTGATTATTTCTTCGCCACATTTCCATGGGGTATGTACTTGTGTGTGTGTCTCTCTCTCTGTGTGTGTACGCATCTTTGGAGATTATGCTTTTTCAAATGTAGATTTGTCAAGGTCAGTATATATCTGGAATAATCTTTAACTACTTGCAGCTTGCATGGATATTTGAATAGTCTTGCAGATTGAATGTCTCATGAAGTGAGTCAATATTCCAATATATTATATCTGATTTATCTCTTTGCAACTTACTATGTCAGCTGCTAGGCTCTCCTGAAGATTCTGACCTTGGATTTTTGAGAAGTGAAAATGCTAAAAAGTACATTAAACAGCTGCCACATGTTCCAAAACAGCCGTTTTCACATAAATTTCCAAGTGTGTCTCCTTTGGTGCTTGATCTTGCTGAAAAGATGCTTGTATTTGATCCCAGCAAACGAATTACAGGTATGCTGTTATCATCTCAATGCTTGCTAATTTTTCCAACAAGTCCATTGATGGTTTGTCCTCTGTATGCTAATGGATTTTCAAATATGTGAACTTACAGTTGACGAAGCATTGAATCATCCATATTTATCGAGCCTTCATGAAATCAATGAGGAGCCTACCTGCCCAAAACCTTTTCAATTTGATTTTGAGCAATCAACATTGGATGAAGAAGATATAAAGGAGCTTGTATGGCGGGAGACCCTAAAGTTCAATCCTGATAAGATGATTGAGTAAGACTCCTGGTTTTTATACTTGTCTGTGACAAATTTAATCATCTAACTCAGATGTCTTGTGGAAGATGTTTGGCTGGTTCAGCTGTGAGTGGATATATGTACTGTATTGGATCTACGCTTTGAGGTGACTTGTTAAGGGTTTGAGGAAATGAGCTTGCGCTTTTATTTATTTTCTTTCTCTCCTTCTCTTTGGAAGGTTGTCATAGAGGCAAGTAATATAGTAATAAACATTAGGAATGTATCCTATCTCAAGGATTTGACAGTAAGGGAGTTGGAGTGGTTCTAATTCCTTTAGCGGTTTTTGTAGCCTTAGATCACAATCTCGAAAAGTGAACCATAACCGAGGTGAACTTATCGAACCAATAATAGGGATTAGAGAAGCGAATGGCAATTCGTCAAAAAGTGTTCCCAGCTCTTATACGATGTTATATGGTGTGCTTGAAGTTGGTACTAACGTGTATTATTCACCTGGAGTGTATAGAAGAAAGAAAGTGATATTGTTTGTATTCTTTTGTTGCAATTCAACATTATAGATGAAGCACAAATGGAAATTGATAGTCTGATACTTTGTTCAAAAAATCTGTATGTGAGTAGTTAGGTCCTTTTTTTTTTTTTTTTTTTTTTTTTTTTTAATTAAAAAAAAAAACCAAGTAGTTAGGTCTTGTTCAGTTGAACTTATCTTTACTTGTTTCAGAGAAAATAAGTTCAGATTATTGCATATCAGAAATAATAAGATCAAATCATCGATTTATGTGTGGTTTTGTCGCTAATTATCTATAATTTGTTTTGAAAAAAAAATCATAAAAATTACATATTAAAATATACATTATAATGAATCTAACAAGATCTTACTTGATACATTTTTTCTTTATATATTATTGTACACATAAGGACAAAATTTAGTTAATTTAGACAATTAGATCATGAACATCAGATCAGATCAAACCAGATAAACAGAAATAAGGTGAACCAAACAAGCCCTTAGATATGCAGATTTATTTATTTATTTAATTATTTTTAAAGGTAAGATATAGGGAAAGAATTTAGTTAAAAAATAAGACTGTGCTCTAATCTATCTTATAGTTAAAAAATAAGAAAACTTGCTATCCATGAATGGATAGATATCTTGGTGGGTCGGAGTAGAGTAACCTAGAGAGGCAACGTAATTTGCTGCTCTTTTTCTTTCACGAAAGATGTGCTAGGAATTGAAGGCCGAAAAGGAATTCAAGATAGTCTTGAACTCTTGATGTCTTCCATTAGGAGCTGAAACTTTCATGGGCAGTTGAACTGACCTTGCAAAATGTTAATAACAGTCAAATTATCTCCTTGTATAAAAATATGGGGAATATTGTGATCTTTTGCCATGAGAAGACCATTATGGAGGACGGTTGCCTTAGCAAGGAAAGCCGAGCATGAACCCAAGCTATAAGTACGGCTAGCAATATGATTATTGAGGGAGTCCTTAGTAACAACACTAAATTTAAATACACTTCCTCTATAACTACATTGAAAAAGATGGATATAACCTTAAGGGCTACATGTAAAAAGCTAAAAGGTAAATGAAAGAATAATAAAACATTAATTATACTGATCCAAGTGTGTTTTTGTCTTGAGTTTTGTAAATTTATATGAAGTACGAGTTCAGTTTAGGAAATCATTTAATGCATATATGTTGTTAAACTTTTTTTTTTGTCAATTTACGTTTGTCGATACATAAACATAGTATAGAAAACAACTTTATCTAATTACAGAATACTCCCTCTGTTCTTTTTGGTGCTTCATTGAGACTTGATATATATGCTTATGTAAAATTTTGACCAATAATATCTTAAAATATTAATTATTACAAACTATAATAATTGTTTATTAATAATCTATTCATTAAAATGATTTTAACGGATACTCACAAGACTATTTTTTTCTTTCTCTTATGTATACTTCACAAACATTAGTCAAAATAGGTTTAGTGAATACTTTAAGAAATCCAATGGGGCACCTGTTATAAAGAAGGGAGTAAAATCTAAGACTGTCAACAGAGGATGTTTGGTAAGTGGGAATGTGAGTTTGGGAATGAGATTGAGAATTCATGGTTGGGAATTCAATAAAGTATTGACAATTCCTAACTTGAGTTGTGAATGGAGTTAATTGGGAATAAATATCAAATTTACAATAACACCCTTACTAATGTTATATCCTTATGTTGTCACTACTGGTAAAGTGATAATTTCCTCTTTATTCTCAATTTCCTCTTTACTAATGTTATATCCTTATGGAAATTGACCTATTTTATTCTCATTCTCATTCTCACCTATAATTCCTCTTCTTACAAAATATATAAGGCAATATGTAAAAATATACTACAGCAAAAGAGATGGTTGCTCTTACAGCAAAAGTGTCATTCAAAACCAAGGTAAGAATTGAAAGAATAAGTCAAAGAAGAAGGTTGAACACGAAGACGAGATAACTCACCAACTTCTAAAGCTTCGGAAGTCAAACCTTCTTACAATAGTTGTAAAAAGATTAACTGTGACAGTGCCAATTGTTGCTTCAAAGGAAAACCATAAAGTTCGGAGTGCAAGAAGTTCGATCATGTCGGAAAATACTGTAGGTTCAAGAAAAGTAATGTTGCTAATTTTGGAGAACAAGATCAAGAAGAAAATTTATTTTGAAGAAGATTGTTATTCAGATTTTGCTAGTGACAAAGAACATCAACACAGATGGTTAGTGGCATGGGCATCGATAACAAACAAAAATTTGAAGACACAAATACATTTGGTGACATGAGCACCGATAACAAGCACAAGTTTGGAGAAATAAATATTTGAGAAGATGACTGATGACATGTGTATTAGTGAGATAGTTGGTAACATGGCTACCAGAAGGACAAGAAGATAAAAAATGATGAAATGAGTTAAGGTTTATGTTACAACTACAAGCAAGGTCGTTAGTGACTAGGGCATTAACAAATATATCAAAAAGGATAAAAATTGAAGCAAGCATTTTGGGACAAGATTTTTCTCTAGATTAAGTGAGAGTGTTTAAATATAGTTATCTAGAAAAATCTGGAATTATATTGTAGACACTAGGCAAAAAATGTAAATGAGCACCGGTTCAAAACCCCCCTTTAGCACCGGTTTTGAACCGGTCCAGATTTGAGGGATGCTAAAAACCAGATACATTCGCACCGGTGCCAATTCTAACTTTTCGCACCGGTTAACTGTTGCCAATTCTAAGCTTTTGCACCAGTTAACCGGTGCTAAAAGTGAATTGCCGCGCTTTTTTTTTTTTTTTTTTTGGTTTTAAAAGCAATTGGCACCGATTAACCGGTGCCATAAACTGTATTTTTTTTGTTTTTTGGCAATAATAATAAAAAAAACCTGTACATCCTGCATTAATTCTACCAATATTATAATATATTATCATAACTGTTTCGGGGTTTTCTGATGTCCTGCGGGAGAGTTACAATTCCGAGACTGGAACCGGACGCCTGTACCTGCAAAACAAACGGATGCTCCGGATGATTGGAGATCCGCCTCCGACGGTCAAGTTAGTACTTGATTAAGGAGTAATTAATGCGGAAATTAAAGTGATTGGGTCTCTCTAGGTGAGAGTGTTTAATGTGTGTAATCTGCTTTTTTAGCGTGTAATCTCCCTTAATGAGGATTAAGGGAGGTATTTATAACCTCGGGAAACGTGTCAATCTAGGTTTAGGTTAACCTTGGACTGATTAGGCTTCCCTCGGAAGTTGGGCCTAGGTGACCGGTTATCCCAGGTGTCATGGGAAGGACACGTGTCGTGTCGTAATTGGTCCATAGTGGACGGATCATTGCTTGACACATGGCAGGCTCCTATTGGCCCATGTGACGGACACATGGCGGAACCTGATTGGTCCACTTGTCAGATGGTGATTGGTGGGGAAAAATCCCCTAATCATTTTCCCCTCACAGGTGGCACGTGACTGGTCACGTGTTACCTGTGACAGGTCTCGCCCTGTAACAGGCGACGGCCTGCTACAGGTGTTACTCGGCGAGAGGCCGAGAGATTCTCCCGCCAAAATTTTGAATTCTGGAAGTGACCCTTTGCCTTCTCACTTTGCATATATAAAGGAGTGTTGACTTCGGTCATTTTCACACTTGAAAACTTTGTGAGAGAACATTCGGACCCCTGAACTTGCTCTGACATTTTGGACCCTTTCTGCCTACCGCCTGCTCTGACAAGCCGACTGCAAAGGATTTTCAGAACTTCATCAATCGTCACTCGTTCAGGTAACCGTCGGTTCTCTTACTCTTAATTTTCTCTTTACTTTATTCTTTTTTGAAATGGCACCACAGAAGCACACGCCACGACCTAGGTTAGTGATCAGCCGGTCACCGGGGACGGCTGAATCTAGGACTAGGAGTGCCGCCTGCCCTTTTCTGGACCCATCTTTGCCCTTCATACAAAGTCCGATTGTATCTGTGTCTATGCAGAGCATGATGGCCAGAACAAAAAAGACTGCCAGGATCTCAAACTCAGACGGCTCCTCCCACAGGGTGCCGATTAGTGAAACATCTGACCAGGCGCCAGATGTGGAAGTGAAACAAAGCGGCTTGAAAGCCGGCAGTTCTGAGGGAGGAGTCAAAGTGACCCCTTCCCATTTTACAGTTGACAATTCTACATTCTCTCCTGCTCCTTTTAAAGGAGAGGAGGCGGGCCCCTCCGGGAGAGGGGAAGAGTCGTCCTCTTCGGACTCGTCAGAGGACGATTCCGAGTCTAGCTTTTCTGGCCATGCTTCCCTAGACACAGAAGAGAAAAACAGTCGCCTACAAGAGGCGAGGCTTTCTCACGCAGTTGAGAAGGGGGACAATTGGGCGGAGCCATCCGCCTCTCACCGAGAGCAAAATACCCCCTACTACTGCACGGTACCTCGGGGCCGGATCACGGCCATGCAAGAGAAAGTGGAGAGCTTTATCGCAAACCACACAATGGCCCCCGGCTTTTTAGTGTTCGTGCCGGATCCAGAAGACACAGTCGTATGGCCGGCTGGTACCAGTTATGATGGCGCCTGCTTTGGCTGCTACGAGGCGGCCATCAAGGCTGGGCTGCGCTTCCCACTACATCCAGCTGTTCAGCGGATCTTGGATGGGTATGAGTTGGGGTTATGGCAGTTAGCCCCGAACTCCTGGGTCAACGTACTCGGCTATGTGGCCGGGTGCGAAACTGCACGGGGTGGAGCCGAGCTTCGAGGCTTTCGCCCACATGAACTACCTCAGCCGGACCCCTAAGGCAGGCGGTACCGGCTGGTATCAATTGACGAGCCACAGGGGCTACCTCATGACGAGAGGTAAAGCAAACAAATGGAAGGACTGGCGGAGCACCTTCCTCATCATTGAGAGTTCAGACACAGAGCTGAACAAGCGCTTCAACAGGTGGAACAGCAATCCGCCCCTTCTTGCAGGCGGCCGCAGCATGCCGCCTGTTCCCCCCAAGGCTAAGAAAGAGATCCTAGATAAAGGACTCTTCAAAGTAGAGTCGAAGGTGAATATACTTCAGGGGTACGAGAGCAAGTACCCCTGCACTGCGT